ATAAAATGGTAATCATTATCAACCAATAAAAACTTTGGCACTTGTAGTTATAATAAGATTTAGCCTTACTGGTTTCCAGTCGCAAACAATATTCCACAACAGTTATAAAACGAGGTATTTCTCACATTTTCTACTAATGCCAATTAATTTAAAGTTCACTTATTTATCGGGTCTATCCGAGTCGGTCCAACTCTTTGTTTTCGCTTACGTTATCGATTGCGTTCAATTTTATCGACGACGTTAATTATTTGTAATGGATTTTAATTAGTTAATTAATTAATTTAGTTCGGTACGCCGGCTGGCACGGTCGTTAGTCGGTTTCTTTGATGCCGACGTGAACTTCCTTTATTTTGGTCGAACCTCTTTGTATTGTACATTTTAGTGTCATTAGTACGTAGTATATTTACCGAGAATTATGTTTAATTATAAATTAATAACCCCTTGTACTTTTAAGAATGGTTCCTTTATTATTTTTGAGTGTGTGCGTGAGTTGGGTCTTGATTTACTTAGTTGTGAGTCGGGAAATGCTTTTGTGGTTACTCTGGATGACCGGGTTATCAAACAAGTTTCTGCGAAGGGCTCAATATTCTTGCTTTAAGTCGATTCATGTTGCTAATATTGGTGTTAGGCTTAGATATACATTTTTTTGTAACCCAAAACATCAATTAATGACAAGATACATTAAAAATTGCAGGTAAATGTTACATTGAAAGACCCATATTCGCAAGTGGCGCCAACAACTGAGAAATAAAATTTAAAATTTCAACCTATAAGTAGTTTATTTCTTCCAATCGATATGTATCGAAAAATAAATGACGTGAAAGGGTAACAGCTAAATGCTATTAGCGTATAAATTATGGTGTAATTGAAAGTAGGGGAGTTGGTGACGTCATTTCCCTGCCCCATCATTCAGTCGATGCATCCCTCGATCAAAAGCCAATGGATTATCGGTTTTTATACACATGTTGTAGGAAACTTTTATTAAAAACAGAATATAAATCTATTATTCATCATTTCGGTTTCTTTAGTCACTTTTTTCGCTATGAAATGAGGATTTATGTATACTAGATAATTTCAAATATCGAAATACAAATTTGAAATTTAAAAAAAGAAACTTAAATATTTGATTGCCAATGTTCCCATAACCTAAATGCGTACAAACCAAATTAAAACAATCGTATTGACGATTACAGAGTTCGTGTTAAACTTTACCAAATAGATTTATCTAGACCATTTGGCGGAGCGAACCATAGAGAGGAACTGAGTAATTTAGTAATTGTATCCACTAACAAGGAATTAAATAGTAATCAATAGAACTGGGGCCCGGGCACGAACCTCCTGGAGTGTTTATATCCGACGATATGAGACCGACACGATTTTACAAATGAAGAAGATTTTTGGTAGAATTTGAGTAAAAATTTACAATAATACTTTGCTTAAACAAAATTTTCATAATTTGCAGTTTGTAGAATATAAGTTGAAAATATTAATGTCACTTTCCGTAAACGTGAATAATGTGACATCACTGCTTAAGATTTGGCAGCAATCTTTTAAAAGGTAAAAAATATATATTTTAAATTTTAAATTTAGAACTACAATGCGTCATATATTTATTGTGAGCGCTATATCATTTATTGTGTACACAACTTCATGCTATTGCGTTGTGACAGAAATATGAGAAGACTTTTCTCCTACAAACGATTATCTGAAGTTCCGTACACAAACAAAATCTGATACAGTAAAGGCGATACGTGGATTTGCAAAGCTATTGTTTTAAATGGGTACTTACGCTTAAAGTTTGGGGCCAATTTTGCGTGTCTAGGTTTATGTTGGCCTCTGTAAATGTATTGTCATACCTTGAGACTTACGTAATAATGCGGTAAGTCACTGACTTGGAGCCTCTTTGAATAGGTATGCGGTTTACAAGAAACAGAAAGGGACATGACGAATAGAACTTTAAAAATATAAAGGAAAAGGTTTTATGCTGCACTTTAATATGTCTAGTGTTTGCGGCAATCTAGAATAAAATAGTTATATGAATCGATAGTTAGGTATGCTATATTATTAAAACCACGTATTCTGTTATTAAATGCGGGATTTGTGCGTTGAAAGAAAATCCCCGAAAGGACAGACAGAACCATTTTCAAAACGCTAACGAAATGACAATGACAGTGACTTCATAGGTCTACACTCGTCATTCTTTAGCCACGGTCACAAACCACCACAGACTAACAGAATTCATTCCGACAAAAAAAACAATACTGAACTTGAATCGTCACACAGATTAAGAATAAAACAACAAAAAAGCTAAATCAGGTTTGTTCGCTTTCGAAGTAATACGCAATTATTATTCGATTTTTAAAACAATTAAAAATAAAGTAAGGAATGCGTTCATAAAACGGCCAGGTGTTTTTATTTTACTTTGAACTATCCTTTTTACGGATATCACTTTCATTTATCGTGATACAACAAACAATTAGCAGTTAGCAATGGATCGCTTCGTTCAGAAATAGCGAGGAATCGATAGACTCATTATGAAACAATTAACTGAGTAGGTCGCGGTACGTGGGCATCAGATGATGTTTGCAGTAATTATATTTATATTTAATAATTATCATTAGCTTTTTTATGGAAATTAACATTAAATAAATCGAAAACAATTATAGGAAAATAAAAAAACATGCGCAAAACTCAATAAAATTACTCAATTTTTTTTTGTTATCGTAATCCATATTTGTATTGGACGCCATTTGCTTCGAAATAAAGTAATGAACGCAAAACACAAATTATGTTAATTAATACAAATTACTAGGAAATAAAAGTGTATAGTTTTCGACGATAACAGGGTTAACATTTTAGTGGTAATAGTATTCCCGATGGACAGTGTGACGGACCAAACAAATGTCCGTTGTGGAGAATTAGCTCCAATCCAGTAAATAAAACATTGCCAATCTGTTGCATCGATATTTGAATAGAATTCTTTTGCGTTTGAAATGAGAATTTCTTCTATTTATTGTTTTGTTTTTTTTTTCTATTATATTGTTGATTGACAACGTTTTGTATTTTAAAACCCTTTTTATGTATTATAAATTGCAATTGTATTTACGTAATTTTTAAATGTGCTAACATAAAGAAGTTCGGTGTTTAAAAATAAGCCATTTTTCTTTGAATGTAGGAACTAAAAGCTAAGATAAAACATTACAATTTAGCTTTACAGAATCTCCGAAAGAGGTCACGAATTAACTAAGGCCAAATGAAGACCAAAATAAACCGAGTTTAAATTAGGTCTACCTTAGAATAGGTCAAATACGATTCTCGAGACGGTGCAAATAAAAATCGCCCTGCTTCTGGCTCCAAAAGTGAATGAAATAGGCCAATAAAAATAACTTGTCTTAAATAAATTGCCATAGACTGTTTGGGTGGATAGCTGAATTAGTATCAATTAGTGTGTGTATATTTCTACATTGTAGGTATCTACTTGTACTGTAGTCGTCGCGATTGGATTAAGAATGGCATTCGTTAATGAATTTTTGTGAAGAAATATGTTTTTAATACCAAAATATAACATTCCCGAAGACGTTTTATTGAAGAACATTGTTTTAAGTATGACACGTTGTTTGTTTCCAGAGGTTGTATCCATAGATAAAAAAACTGAGGGCAGAGACAGAATTTTTACAGATTATTAATGTTTGATATTAATATATTATCTTTATTTCTTACGTTACTTTTTTCATTTAAAAATGATATTGTTAAAGACACGTGTAACTTGTCTTCGAACTAATTGTTGAGTTATATCAGTTTGATTAACTGGATATGGATATGATAAAAATGTAAAAATGAAAGACAAACCGATGCCATGAGCCGAGCGGTTTTTGATTTAATAAATGAACGTAAGTGGATTGATTCCCTTAATGGCATTCGGTATGATTTACATAAGTAATGATCATTGATACGAATTAATTAATTAATTAGCCATGTAGTCCTCGAAAAGGCCACCCGGTATCTGGTACACTTTAGTACCTACTTTATATTATTTCAATGTAAGTTGTAAGTGTATCGAAGATATTTTCCTTTTGGAGTACCTAAGTACTCAGTAAGTAGCCCGACAAACTGCCACTTGTAATGCACTTAATTCCAATACATTATTGCTTAACATATCTTTACAGATAAAACGCTGCACCAATAAAATGTATAAACGATATTATCGCGCACAACTAAAAGGCTTTAAGTTGACTTACAAATAGTTTTTATTGCACAGAAACTCAATACTTCAACATAAAAACATTCTACTACGTATTAAAATTATTGAGAACATGTTTAAATGTACGTGTAATTAGATTTGTTCGAGTTAAAAATCAAATTAAACAAACCTTTTTTCTAAACGCAACTAAATTAACTTTACAATGGTGTGATAAGATCGCGAGGCGCCGCTCGCCTACGTCGAATGGACGCGGGCTACTTTGAGCTAATCAACTTAACTCGACTGTCACCGAACGCACTCGGGAAGTCGGAACTTCTAAACAGAGCACGGACAGTCTACAACAACTCTTTATAGTATTAGGTAAAATAACTCCTAGGACACTGTTAGACTTCGCCTAGCTAATGGATCGCTCCTCTATGCTTAGAACGTAAAACTTTTATGGATAAGTAGAATCGAGTTAGTAGTTGTGTCGAAAATAGCGTTTAAGTTGCTCTTAGTTTTGCTTTTGTTGTGTTGAAATGGCGAATGAGAGTTTGTCAAAATGTTTTGCTGGAGTTACAATGGTAAGTTGGCTGCTAATACATATATTGGAGTCTGTTTGGTATTGTTTCATTAAATTTCCTGTTCGTTTTATACTTTTTGTTAGTTTCACTGTTTTAAACCATAAAGTTAAAGGTTTGAAATAATTCATTTCATACATTCTATTGAATAGTTTTGGTAATTACGCATTTATACGTATGGTTGATTTGGGATTACGATTTTAGGCTAATTTATAGATACTTTACTCTAAAACACTTACTTGGCGAATCAGCAAGGAGATCGCTGTCATCCTGCGACGGGGACTTCACAGATCCGGGAGACATCTTCACGGGTGCATGCGGTGACGGAATCGGCCCGGATCCGGCACTACCTGCACTGCTGGCCGGTCCCGCGTTGGCGTTGTGTGACGTAGTGATCGTTATCTCACCGTTCGACGCAGCCAGCCTGTGTAACATTAGTATTATGACGTCATTATCTAGTAAATGCATTCTAATAGGGTGATTGAAGTATTTGATGCTTGAAATTACAGTGTTGCATACTGATAATTTATTCAAACACGTGTTTGTATGGAACATAGTTATCGATGTGTCGTTTAATGAGCTGTTGGTGTTTTAGCGCGGGTGGGTAAAATGTTTACAGAAAATAAAAACAATAATAAGTACTTCATTTTAGTTACGATAAAATCATTATATATTTAAATTAAAATCAACTACACACAAAAAAAAGAGTCACACAAAATAATTATTAAAAATATAATTATAAGATTTATAAGAATTACAGTATTAGAGACGAGCCTAGTTTTAAAATTCGACGTAACGAAGCCGCACTTAACAGTAAGTTATAAGGTAATCTTAGACAAATGTCGGATGAAGGCAATTAGAGATGTTGGTATTTTTTTTCTATCTCAGATACATTTAAATGTAAAAGAAATCTTGTCGTGTTCAAACTGCGAAGAGATATATATGTATCTATTCTTTTGTTTTTACTCTTAGTAAATGTCTACTTAAGTACAAATAATTAGAAAGTGTAAGTACTTTTTAGGAATTTTTAATTATATGGAATAGTGCAGAGATATTTTGGCGTCTAGAGTAAAGTGATTGTAATATTATTGTGATATGAAAGATTCACAACATAGATCTACTGAGAAAAACAAATATCTCAGTAGATCTAAGAAGTTAACATACACAAATTGCAAATTATATAGATATTTCTTTCTTTGAAATAAAACCTCTTGGGTTCCAAGCTTCCTAATTCAAACATCGTATGAAAGTGAAAATAAAATTTCAAAGTCAGTATTACTGCACTAGAATTAAAAAGTAAAGATATCGTTAAAGGGAAAGATAGGGCTATCACTGAACTGTGACACAGCATTTGTTAATTGTCACTGAACAATAGGGGGCAATTTTTCTCAATCAGCGCTTCGATAAGGCACGTTTCACATAAACGACATAAATTTATTTATTTACTAGCGGCCTGCCCCCGCTTCGCACGGGTCCAACTATCTCGCTATCAAAGGGTCACTTTCCTAATCTTCCCCTCTACTTTTCTAATATTTTCTGTGAAAAAACCTTCTCCTGACAATAAGAAACACAACAAAAAAGAATTAGAAAAATTGGTCCAGGCGTTGTTGAGTTATGCGATCCATTTTTATATATACTAAGATGTAAGATTTATAGCTTCTTCACACAAAACAGTTTGAATGGCGGACTTAATGCACTTTAACACTTTCACAGTAACAACATCTGTACAATCAAAGATGAATAAATGGAGCGACTGAAAAGGTACGTAACGTTAACTACAATTTAACATAGATCTAGGTAAGTAAAGTTAAGAAGTTAGTATTATGAATGATTACCACTAATACAGACAAAAAAGTACAGACAGTATAAAATGAAAATGATCCAAGTTGCCCACACGATGAACATTTAAAAAAGGAACAACAGAACGCATTTGAAGTAACGTCTTTGTACCAGGAAATAATTGCCATTTAAAAAAATATGTCTGGGTTCCTAAGATGAAGGGGAAGTTGGCAACCCATTTTTGGATTTTTTTAGGGAAAGTTTTCTGTGCATTGTTTTAAGGTGAAGGGTGGTAAGACGTTGTATTACAAAAAAACTCTTTATTTTTATAATTGCGTTTGGAAAAGGAAATCATAGAAAAACGTGTTAAATTGTTCTTTTGTTCAAATGTTACCCGACAACAAACTTAACGTTTTTGTTCCTGATGATGTTTTTTTTTTGCATTTTACCTTATCCTTGTAAACACATTTTGGTATTGTGATTGGTTGTATAATTCCGTATGTTGTATGTAATTTAAATTATATTTTTTTAAAACAATTTGGCTTTTAAGACGGAACAGTTTACTAAGCTCAGAAAAATAACTCATCCTTTACCCTTAGCGTAAAAACCTTATTAGGATTTTATTTCACTGTACGTCTTGCATTAATGCGCAATACTTTTATGACTACAAAACTATATTAAACAGACATCACTCATCATATTTTACGTCAGACAATCACAATACAAAATTTTCCACCCGTCTGCAAACAACAGAAGCCCTTACAGATCTAGGATTAAAACATAGTTTTCTATACATATTTTTTTTTTCTGTAAAAAGTACGCATATCGTGTAACAATGATGTTTCGAGTGTCTCACCCGAGTGCGGCGGCTACAAATGAGGTGCGCGCTTCATTAAGTGCGCCTGCATTAGCGGTAATTGCCGGCTAATTAGGGCCTCATCCGTTGCAACTCACACACATGCACTTTTATTGTATTCGTGCATGATACTGTTACACAGACTCGTTTTAATTTGTCTGTCGTCAAGTAATTGAGATTAGTTATAGTTATAGTTGTAAACTGTTCGTTTTGCTGTTGTTTTTTTCTTAGTCGCAGTGTGACTATGGGTTTCTTGCGAAATGCTAATGGTAAAATGTGTATGACCAGAGTTTTTTTTTATATTCAATACACGGATGCAATGCTGATACTATTTTTTTTACTATTCAATAGATGTTATTATACATACATACATAATATAAACCTTCCTCTTCAACCACTCTATCTATAAAGAAAAAATCGCTTCAAGATTTCTTGCGTAGTTTTAAAGGTTTAAGCTTATCAAGGGGTTTTTTTTTTGAGATTTAAGCATATAAAGTATAGGCAGAGAGAAAGCGACTTTGTTATATACTATGTATTGATGGAATTGTAAAACACTATGGCGAATTGGAAATTGAACTGTAGGGTTACATAGATTCCCTGCTAGAACATAAAATTAATGATTCATAACCAATTTTTTAATTAATATTTTTCAATTATGTTCATATGTGGCTCAAAAGTTCCATAAGATATGAATAATTGTTCACAATCTATTTAATCATAGGTAGTACTTATAGCATCTGCGTTAATTTATTTGCCTTTTCTTAGTAATCAATTAATATGTAAATTAAACTAGCACCCCTTTATGCCATAGTAAATAAAGTACTGCATGTATGTATGTGCGTGTGTATATGTATGTGGTGAGGCGATAATAACACGCACACTCTTACAAAACATGAACTCATTCACACACACTTTATGAACCTTATACAGGGTGTATATGTGTGAATAAGTCATCCACACACAAGCACAAATGTAATTAATTGTTCCTTCAAAATTATCAGAATGTAACTTCGACAACTCAAACTACATATTTGCAAGTTTATTTGTTAAAACGAAAAAATAATTATAATCGTTCCGTCACATATTTAATTACGATCTTATTTTCTTGTCATTCTCATACGACCTTTGTCGTGCGTTAAAGGTTCAGTCTCAATAAATTATATTTTAATTGATTATTAATGGTACTTGTAAGCATCATTATAGCGCTTTATTTCTCTTGAAGTATTAATTAAGTTGAAATTTTATGCGAAAATGAGATAATGCTCGATGTTTTTATTGTGTAAAATGAATAAACAATTGTCTTTTTTATTTAATCTGTTAATACAGTAAAGAATCACAAGGTACGATATGATTTAAATTATATCAACCATTATTACGGCCATCGGTATTTCAGAAACACCTTTTATAAATAAGATTACTTATTTTAGTGTCTTCCTACTTACCAATGGAACGAACCCGTAATTATTTAAAAATGGAATTGTTTTAAAAACGTATATGGCCAGTAAAATAACGTCCGCCTAAAGCTACGATTATAAAAATATGAAATGTTTTATTAAGGTCAATAATTGCTTTTTAATACACTTAATTTATCTTCTGGAAAAAATGGAACAGTCTCTTCAGTGTGTATTGTAAGTAGTTACAATTATGTATCGTGGTTGGTGAGATTCGATCATGTTTATGGCGATAATTATTGTTTAAATATGTGCGTTTACAAGGAATTAGTGATGTCATCAGTTCATTTGCGTTGGTGTACCGTCCTTTTTAGGTCTCGCAATAAATAAAACATAAGCTTTTAATGATGCAATGGACCTACTTTTACAGATTCTTTGCCATTTTCGCCATCATCCATCATTTATGTATCATAAGTTTTGGGCAAAATATTGTGTTTACTTTGGAGAAGTCTGGCAATAGGTTTTGACAATCACTGCTTGGGCGGAGTGCGTGCTGTCACTGTCAGTCTTATGTCACAATGACATTTCGTTAGTGTGCGTCAAAGATTATGGGGGGCAAAGGACAGAGATGCGATGCCAATAATGTCAGGATGCAACTCGCCAGTGGTAACAACAGCCTATAGCAAAACATTGATTGATTCGGCACGAATGGGTCGGCTTGACCGGAGTGATACCACGGTCACACAGAAAACCGGCGTGAAACAACCACAGCGTTGTGTTTTGCCGTGTGAGTAAGGTTCCCCAATCTCTTTTCAATCCTTTAATATCCCAAACTTTTATCCCTAAAACGCCGGCAACGCACTCTTAACTCCTTTGGTGTTGCGGGTGTCCATGGGCGGCGCTGATTGCTTACCATCAGGTAAGTATAATCCATAAAACATATTCTTGAAGTTTTTACTTTCGTTTTTCGTTTTTATATTGTTAGTTTATTTAGAACAAAATATAAGTTCACAAGAATAAATGCTAAAACACATGAAACGATTAAAGATAAGTGAATTGTATAAATATTTAATGCTGTGAACCTCTGGTGTTAACTTAAAGAGAAAAACGCGGATAAAAGTATGCACTCAATTCTAAAAGAAAAAAGAGCAGGGGCGTGTGTGGAGTCGAAGACGGAATTATATACTTTTTATAAATATTATTTGAGTTTGAAATTTTTACATTGCACAGAATGTACATAATTTGTATTCAATAATAATGCAAAAATAAAAACGCTTTGAAACTTTCACCTAATATTTGATTTGACTTTTTTCTACACAACCAAAATAAAATGTCAAAAGTTAGAGGTTAGTTCGTATTTGCAATAGGAATATATATCATACACAATACTTTAAATAA